ATGTATATATTTGAATAAGTGTTTTGCCTGTGTGTATGTAAGTGTACCACATGTATGCAGTGCCTGAGGAGGACAGAAGAGGGTGTTGAATCCCCTAGAACTGGAGTTATGGATGACTGTTAGCTGCCATGTGGGTTCTGGGATTCAAACTCAAGTCTTCTGCAAAACAGTCAGTGCTTTTAACCACTGAGCCATTTTTCCAGCCCCTAGTATTTGAAATGTTTAAAAAGGTCCTTGGTAACTCTATCAAGGATGACTTTTCTGAGAAAGAATATTTGGGGACGAGCGTGAGTTAAGTGTATTAGTTACTTTTCTTTTGCTGTGATAAAATACCATGACCAGAAGCAACCTGAAGAATGAAGTTTATTTTGGCTTAAGGTTCCAGAAGGTTAGATGTCCATAATGGCAGGGAAGCCATGGCAACAGGAGCAAGACACAGAGAAATTACATCTCCTTACACAGAAAGCAGAGTGCAAGCAGGAAGTGGGGGAGAAGTTATAAACCCTCAAAACCTATCCCCTGATGTATTTTCTCCACCTCCTAAGGGTTCCATACCCTCCCTCAACAGTGCCACCAACTGGGGACCAAGTGTTGAAATACATGAGCCTATGGGGGACATTTCTCATTCAAACTACTACATTAAGGAACTATTAAATTTTTCTGTTTGACTGGGAATTGTGGCATATACTTTTAATCCCAGCATTTTGGAGGCAGAAGCAGATGGATCTCTGTGAGTTGGAGGCCAACCTTGTCTACATAGTGAGTTCTAGGTCAGTCTGGGCTAAATAGAGAGACCCTATCTTAAAAAAAAAAAAAAAAAAAAAAAAAAACGAAACCAAAAGAATTCAGTCAACAAACTGAGGTTCTGAACCCAAGGAAGTGGTGTTAGGTAGGAAAAATCAGGTCACCTGTTCTTGTACCTGTTGGAGAAACAGACAGGTGACTGAAGCACTCAGGACATCTGGGAAGGGCCAGGAGGGTTTCGTCAGCATTGTTTTCTAGGGCTGTCATATGAATGTAATCAGAGTAGTGGAGTTTGTGCTACTACTGATCACCACAAACACCACTGAGCAGAGACAGGAATTGAAGCTTTAAATCTTTTTTAAAAATTTTTTAAAACTTACTTTTATTTTATGTATAGGAGTGTTTTACCTACATGTATGTAAGTGTACCTGGTGTGTGCAGTGCCCATAGAGACCAGGAGAGGGCATCAGGTCCCCCTGGAACTTGAGTTATTGATGTTTGTAAGCTGCATATGGGTGCTGGGAACCAAACCCAGAGCCTCTGCAAGAGCAGCCAGAGCTCTTAACTGCTGAGCCATCTCTCTAGCCCCCAGGAATTGAATCTTTAAGCTGTGTTATATTCAGAGAACTGGTGAGCTGAGAAGATGGGAGCATTGGCACCCTAGAGCTCTGCCCTCTCATCTCTACCTAGCAGATTTCAAAGGGAATGGGAACAAAGTCAGTCAGTCATTCCAAAGTTCAGCCTTCCTCGTCTGGTCAGAGGGTCAGCCATGTCCCTGGGTTTCATGGTGTTAGTATTCTCAGTATTCTTTCCTTATTGTCCCCCACCCCCATTGTCATGTACAACTGGGTTCACAAACTCCCAAGGCTGCTGAGTCTTACATTCCTCCCCATGTGCCACCTAAGTCAAAAGTTAACTTAGAACAAACAAACCTTTGGCAGTGTGTCTGTGCTGAGCTGTTTGCCATGTGTACATGCAGAGCCCTTTTTGCAATGTGAAATACAAATGTACCCCTGTAATACAGAATACAGAAAGGCCCTATCTAGTCCTCCTGTCGCTTACCACAACTAAGACAATAAAAGTCATCCTCACAGTTCCAGAAGCTAGGAGTTCAAAATCAAGTTGACAGCAGGCCCTTGGTGCCTCTAAAGGTCAAAACTTTTCTTGCCTCTTGTAGCAACTCCAGGTTCTAGGCATTCCTTTGTTTGTGGAAACCTAACTCCAGTCTCTACTTCTGTCTCCACACGACCTCCTATACTTCTATGCCACGCCTCTCTCTGCCTCCCCATTGAACTTGCTGTTGGGATTTTGCCTACCGTGAGTCTGGAATCATCTTATAATACAGTTTTGTTTAATTTGCCTTCACCCAGTTATGAGGTCCTAGCTAGAGGCTGGTGAGTCCTTGAACCATTGGTTCACACTCCAGTCCCTTTCCTCATCCATCACACTGTGGGCTACTTACTATAGATTTGTCCCAGGGGCCTCAAGACCTGATCCAAGACAATTAGGGGCAAACAAGGTATAGCCCCTATGCCCCAGAACTCTCAAAATTACTCAAATTAGCCTACTCACAGGAAACCTACGAAGCCCAGTGAGGTAAAATGCTGATCTCCAAATGTAATAGCTATTACCATCTTTTAAAAATATTTATTGTTTTTATTTTATGTGTATGAATGTATTACCTGCATGCATGTAAGTGCACCCGTGTTGTGCAATGTCTGTGGAGGTCAGAAGAGGGCATCAGATCCCCTGGAACTGGAGTTGCAGATGGTTGTTGGCTACCATGTGGGTGCTAGGAATCGAACCCAGGTCCTCTGTAAGAGCAGCCAGTGCTCTTAACCATTGAGCCATCTCTCCAGCTCCCACTATTACCATCTTAATCAGAGCAGCTGTGACTCTCTGCAAGAGACCTTCAACAAGACTGGGCCTGTTAACATTGCTTCATAGAAGCACAGACTAGGGAAGGGTCATTAGATCTAGCCATGCCCTCCTGCACCATTCCTCCCTGGATGTATGCAGTCCCGCCCCAACTGTAGGTGGGTCTCTGGCTAGAGCACACAGGAGATGGGACATTAACTGAAGGGGGATTCTATCAATGCAGCTACGGAGAAGTTGTCACCCATGCTGGGGTGGGACTTTTAGTGACTTTGCTGTTATGGACCCTCCCCTATTCCTTTAAGCAACTCCTTACCCATGTTCCTGTAAATCAGCCGATTAAACTCATTGGTTCACCAAGCTGGACTAGGGTGAAATCATTACCTTGGTCTGTCATTGGTGCCCTATCTGGGGTGAGTAGACATTTGCTGATTTTACCCAGGAGAAGCCAGTGTACCACTCAGCTAACCTTACACCACTTGTTGCAATATAAGCTGTCCACTACAGCTCCACCTATCTATCACCAGTTCCTGGACACCCTGTGTGGGCTCACCTGGCATCCTTCTCTTGTTCAGTGTTATAAGTAACAAAAAGTTCTGCCTTTCATCTATTGTCTTGCTGTGTTGTATCTTGTTTAAATCTTCTAAGCCAGGGGCTGGAAAGATGGCTCAGCAGTTAAGAACACTGACTGTTCCTGCAGAAGACCCAGGTTCAAATCCCAGCACCCACATGGCAGCTAACAACTGTCCATAACTCCAGTTCCAGGGGATCCAACAGCCTCTGTCTTCTGCAGGCATTGCATGACATGGGTGCACTTACCTACATGCAGGCAATACACGCATACACATAAAAAAAAAAGCAAAACAAAACAAAAAAACTTCCAAACCAGATCTTATCGAAAGATCCTTAATTACATCTGAAGAGACTCTTTTTCCAAGCACACATTCACAGGTAGATATCTCATTTGGGGTATCAAAATTCACCTCACTGCACCCACTTTGAGACAGTCCACACCAGTTTATAACCATGAGTTCAGAAGCCTGTGCTGATGAAATAGAGGAAATGTGAACTTTGGTCTTGGGGACATAGGTATGAAATAGAAAATAACAGGGGGCCTGGGGACCCTGTAGGATCTAGGCCTGCTGGCTAACTGAACTGGGCATTAGGAACTTTATGAACATAAACTGGGAAACAAGGGCTGGAAAAATGGCTACGCGACCAAAGTTCTTGCCACACAAGCCTGACGACCTGAGTTCAATCTCCAGGACCCACATGAGGTAGAAAGAAAACTATACATGACAAAATGCTGTACTCTGACATCCACACATGGCACACATGTCCACACACGTTATGCGTATACACAAGATAATAACTAACTAAATAAATAAATAAATCTAAGAAACAGCAGTGATTTAACCTCATCAACCCAGCTCTCCATAGGGAAACAGAAGAGGGGAGTCACTGGGGGTGGGTGGGGCAAAGGATGATATATGTGATTCTCTTTGTTCATGGAAGTTCTGACCCAAATGTTGTCTTGAACACAGAGCCATTGCTCCTAGGGAAAATGCTATTAGGTCCTGAAAACCTTTAATCACATTTCAGTTACCTGATCAATATATGCCCTTATGTTGCCTGTGTTTAAAGCTGCCTCATTTTGTATATCACTGTTGATATGTTGACATTGAGCTCATAGCCAATAGAGCATATAACTGGTAACTGAGTGAAGCTTACCTAACACTTCTTGCTCTTAGGAACATCCCAGCACTAGGCTTGGAGGCTATTTTGACCAGTAAGATCACTAGGAAAAAACAACAAACTGTGAAAAACCCTATGCAAACTCAAGCAGATAAAAACCCAGCATAGAGCTAGGGAAATGGGCAGCAGGCCCCAAACTTAGTCAAAGAACTACTGGCCGCTGATTACTGCTGGGTGAGGGAGAGCTAATCTTCTTCAAAGAAGAGACCCTAGATAGGCTGACTAGACCCCAGTGGATGAACTTGCAGTGAGGGACGTCTGGGGACACTAATGACTTCATAGGCCTTAACGTATATGACAGAATGCATGAAATTTGGTGTGGCAGGCGGGCCGGGGGGGGGTCCGGATTGGGGGGGGAGGATAAAGATGATTAAGATGTTTTGTACGAAATGCACAAAAATTCAATTAAAAAGAAAAGAATAAAAATGTGAAAACATGTCACAGTTGACCATAAATAGTGAGCACCTATTTATAGAAAGCTGGAACACACAGAAAGGTAGACAGCACAGAGAAAGAGGTCAAAGCAGGATGGTCATAAAGAAAAACCAAGAGCTCCCAAAATCTAGTTAATCTATAACTGAACAAATAATGTTGAGAAACCAAACCAGTGGGGGAGGAAAAGAACCCACCATGGCCTGAGTCTGGCTAGGAGGCTGTGACTTGGGGCAGAGGCAGTGCAGAGAAGCCAGGGAAAGATTCATTTCCAATGGTCACAGGAAGCCCCTCCTTTGTCCCCTCCTCTCACTTCCTTCCTTTGTTCCTGGCTAAGGGGCTTTCAGCTTGGGAGGTAGCCAGAGCCACAGGTTAGTGGCCAGCTGGATAACAGAAGACCTTGGGGCCTTGTGGTGTGGACACCTAGAATCTGCCTTTCCTGGACTGCCTTGCCTTGCTCTAGGGGGCTTTGGCCCCCTAGTCTGTCTGCCTCTGCCTCACTTTCCTCCTCATCAGCTTCTTCTGAGGAAGAAGTTTCTTGAGAAGGGAGGTGGTGGACCCTGTTGGTCTAGGGCCAGCCACCCACCAGGGGACACATCACCTCATCTCCTGGGCACCTACTGACTGCACCAGCTTTGGTTTCGGGTAAGTGGACGACATTTGGGCCTGAGATCTCTGCGCTCTGACTTATGGCTGGTAGCCTAGGACAGCAGAGTATCTCCTCCTGAATGAGGACTCTGAGGGCACACAGCAGGGGTGTGGGAATCCCAGTGAGGTCCAAACAAATTAAGATTTTCAAATGTTAGAACAGGAAAAAGCAAGAACAGTCTTGCCATCATTGGCGGTCCCCCCCCCCCTCCGCCGCCCCGCACCAAGCCTCAGAGCCAGTTCTTCCTGATTTGGATTCCAGAGCTTTCTTCCTCATTACTATTTTGATAGATGTAAACAGAAGCTGTGACTTTTGTGATTTCTTATGGAGCCTACTACCATTCTCTGAACTTGGAACCAGACTCAACTGACCTTGGTTCCTGAGACAGAAAGATCTGTACCACAGTCCTAATACAAGTCTTCAAAGGGAAAGCCAGCCTGATCTTGTTCTCCGAAGTGGACAACTTCACTTCCTGCACCTGACCTGCCACGGCCCAGGAGACCCTGCCCCGCCTGGGCATACCACAGCTGTGAATATGGGAGAGGACATGGAAGTGTGGAAGCAAGTCTTCCAGGAGTTAATGCAAGAAGTGAAACCATGGCACAAATGGACACTCATGGTGGACAAGGGCCTTCTACCCAACGTCCTGAAGCCAAACTGGTTGCAATACCAGCAAAAGACCTTTGCCAGGTGAGTGGCACACAATGATACGCTTGCCAGAAAAATGGTTGCCCATTTCTCACTGTGCATACTGACCACTTCACTGATTCTGTTCAGGTTTACACATTGAAGACTGTAGGAAAGGACTCTGTCATCCAACAAATTCCCCTTTGATGGTTTGCCCCCTTATTACAATGAACTGAAAACAGTGGCAAGCCTAGGGACTGGGAATTCAGGCTGGGAAGTGGAACCTAGAGTCTGAGGAAAGGGGAATGGAGAGGTGGCAGCTCTTTAACTTGAAAGACTCTCCATCTACCTGGAGCCCCTGGGAACAGACACATTTGTACTGAGTAGATGACTCCTCAGAGACAGGTCAGGTGAGCATGAGCCATGGCACCAAGCCACTCACAACAATCCTGCCCCTCTCTACTCTGAGCTGATAGAATTTTTTTTTTTTTTTTTTAAATAGGGTTTGCAGAAGCCATACATTTCCTCCTAATTTGTCTAGGGCCTGGGGGTGGAGTAGGTGGGCACTGCCCAGAAAACAGAGAGTGATGTCCTGGGATCCATTCTGCCTTGCTTCCCCAACCAACCCCTGACCCCAACTCCATACCCATGGGGAGAACCTAGGTCTTCTCAGCTAGGAGCTGATGTGGGAAGCCCCAGAGCAAAATCTTTGTTCATTTGAGACTGTGGAACTCTGGCCTGGCACACGGTGGAGCTAGAGTGCCAGGATTGAACCACAGAAGTGGACAGCAGCTCAGGACAGCCCAGGCCTCTGTGCAAGGCTGGCTCAGAGCGACTCCACGCCACTTGGTCACATGAGGCTTCAAGATTCACTGCAGCTTCCTTTAGTTCATCCCCACATTTGACCAGAGAGGGAAGGCTGGGATCGAAACTCAAAAGGGAGAGGGCTGGGGCTGTAGCCCAAAGGTAGAGCATTTGTTTAACATGCTCAAGGTCTTGGTTTTCATTCCTAGCACAGAGATAAATTCAGGAGCCAGCCTGAGCTAACTCATTCTGCTTTAGCCTCCTCCAGTTCCCAATTTCAGACTGCACATGCCCCTGTCTCAAGGCAAGCAAAGCTAGGCTCAGCTGCTCTGACAAAACACTCAAGATTTAACCTAACACATGGTTCCCAGGGTCACCTAGGCAGAGGAAGAGGGGAATCTTGGAAAGGGGAGCTATCACTGATGCTCATATCCCATCAGCCAACTGGCCCCCTGACCCCAAAGAGGACTGGGAAGCAGGAAGGAGTGCATGGGTCATTCCGTGAGTCAATTGTCTCTGCTGCATTGCAGCACTCTAGCTTTCCATAATTCCCATTCTAGATGTAGCCACATGCTTCCTGCCTTTTTATTTCTTCATCCTTCCCAACAGAAATTTGTGCAAATATCTTAGAAAATTGCCCTCCAGGCTGAAAGGTGTCCATTCTGTACCCTGGTGGAGGCAAACACTCAAAAAGAATGTGAGGGTTTTTCCGAGGATACGTTGAATAAAGGAATGAGCTGGGGATGGGGGGACAGCAAAAGAAGAGAAACTGGAGACCATAGTCTCCCGGGAGCCTTCAGATTAGGGAGCCTGAGTAACCAAGGGCAGACAAGCCTTCTCTCTAGCACATTGCAGCTCTCTCCTGATCTTGTACAGACTTAACTGATTTCAGCACAGGGTTCTTGGGGGCTGTTATATGTCTAACCTTGGACCCACTAACATCAGTGTTTGAAGAAACAATGGCTTGGGATCCAGAGACTGGAGCTCGTCCTGCCTTTTATGCTCCCTGAGCCCTGGGGCATAATGAGTTCCCAATGTGTGCCTTGCCTCCAAAGTGCATATATATTAGACTTAGAAAGAGCCCTAAGTTCTTTCCAGGTCAGATGACTTATGATTTTCTGTTTCCACAGTAGGTGCCTGATGCTCACAGGGCATGCTGATGGCACAGTAGAGATGGGAAACAGGGACTCAGTCATGTCTTCCACTGCTAGTCCAAGACCCTAACCAGGTCATATGTCGGTGCTGGCAGAAGTATCTTCTTGCTCTGACAACTTGGCCATACTGAACCAAGCTGAGACTCTGGTCCTCTGTCTCCACAGGTTCCAGTGTTCTTTATGCTCTCGCAGTTGGGCCTCTGGCCACGTCTTGGTGGTTTTTCACATGCACTGGTGTGGAAAGAAGTGTATGGGCCAGGTGAAGATGCGGGTCTTTGCTCAGAAATGCAAGAAATGTCCCCAGCCTCCATTTGAGATTCCAGAGTTCACACAGGACAACATCACAAGGATCCTGAACAACCTGGTCTTCAAAATCCTGAAGAAGTGCTATGGAGAAGCATTCAAACAAATGGAGGAGATTCCGTTGGTTGGGGATGCCAGTCTTGAAGGACCACATGACAGTAACAACTGTGAGGCATGTTTGCAGGGCTTTTGTGCTCAGAGTGGCTTAGGCCTAGCCTCAAAGTCACCAGTGCCCCCATTGTCACCCACCCCCTCTAAGTCGACTAGGGAGCCTACTGTCCCTGCTACTTGTATCAACATCCCCTGTTCACAAACCCCCTTGAAAGTGGAAAAGCCCCGAGCATCAACAGTGAACCCCAAAGTCAGTAACCCTACCAAGGCTGACCCCAAAGTCAACCATACCCCCAAATCATCAACTGTCCCATTGGCAACAGAAGTTATTTCGCATACCCCTAAATATGTCCATCAAATGCGTTCTCCCATCCAAAGCAGCAGAGCAGCAGATGTAGCAACCAAGAATATCAGGCCCAAGACCCAAAACACAGTGCCCTCGTCCTCCTCTTTAATTACACCCACTTCCTCATTTGTCCCACCCACTTCCTCATTGGTTGCACCCACTTCCTCCTCTTTAGCCATGCCCTCTTCCTCCTCATTGGTTACACACACTTCTTGGAACCCACCAGCAAACACGACTTGCAGGGTGGAGACGTATGTGGGGACCTATCCATCAAGTGGGTCTTCCCAATTTTGCGAAGACTGCCCGAGGTGCATCCTGCAGAGCTTCTGCTCCTGCCGCCGTTTTCTCCTTGTAATCTTTGTTATCATTGCTGTGTTGCTTGTTGTAAGAAACCTCATATGAGCCTTAAAGAAAATGCTAAGAACCCACATCAAAAGAGTGACATATTGTATGACTCTCTTTATATGAAATGTCTATAAAATCAGTAGAGACCAGAGGTGGCTGTCAGGGCTGGGGGAAGGGAAAACTGTAAAACCATTACTTAATTGATACGGGTATTGTGGGAGAAGGGGAGATGAAAATGTTTGGGAATTTGATGGAGATTATCACAATATTATCAGTGCACTAAAATCTATTGAATTGTTCATCTTAAGATGGTTAATCTTCTTTTCTTCTGTTTTCCCTTGAGGTTGGGGTAGGTTTGATACAGGATCTCACGCCGTGGTTCAAATCGGTCTGCAACTCACTAGGTAACCCAGGGTAGCCTCATGCTCACAGTAATTCTTTGGCCTTAGCCTCCCAATGCTTGACTCACAGATAGGAGCCACCAGGCCCAGCAGAGAATTAATTTTTCTTATGTGACTCTCATTCCAACACAGTAAAAAAATAAAAATAAGGGTAGAGAGATGGCTTAGCCATTAAGAGCACTGGCTGCTCTTGCAGAGGACCCAGGTTTGGTTTCCAGCACCCACATGGTGGCTAACATGCATCTGTAACTCCAATTCCGGAGAATCTGATGCCTTCTTCTGGTCTCCAGGGGCATTGCATGCACGTGATGCATTTACATATACGCAGACAAAACACATAAGAAAAAAACAAAACAAAACAGAAAAAACCTTGTTCTAAGCGAGCAACTACAGAATTATAAAATAAATAAAAATAAATGAAAATTTAAAGCTAAAGTTTTGATCAATCTTTAAAATATTTTATTTTTATTTTATTTTATGTGTTTGAGTGTATTGCATGCATGTAAGTAAGTGCATCTATATCATGCAATGCCCACAGATGCCAGGGTGTTGGAACTAGAGTTACAGATGGTTGTTAACTGTCGTATAGATGCTGGGATCTGAACCCAGTTCCTCTGGAAGAATAGCAAGTGTTCTTAACCGCTGAGCCATCTCTCTAGCTCTAGTTTTGATCAATCTTGAAAGAACTGAGTCTTGAAAGAACTGAGAATTCTTTGGAAATCTTAAACCTGTGTCACTTATCACCAGCGAGTTTTGCGCAGACCCTGTGGTATCAGTTGTGGTGGGGGCGGCAGGGGGCGGGAGGGACTTGCAATGGAAGCAGTAGACTGAAGACCTGGGTTTTCAACTAGTGGTCTCCACAGAGGTGCATACACCTGAGACCCAAGGTGGGGCAAAACACTGGGGTGTGAGAGATCCCTTAAAAGTCCAGTGAGGGAGCTCAATGGCTCAGTGGGTAAAGTGCTTACAGCTCAAACATGAGGACCTGAGTTCAGATCTCCACACACATATGAAAAGCTTGGTGTGGAAGCAAGTGTCCCCCAGCACTGGGGGAGCTGAGACAAGAAGATTGTGGGGTTCACTGGCTAGTTAGACTATCCTAAACTACAATCTCTGGGCTCAGTAGGTCAAAAAATAAGGTGGTAAAGTGATTAAGAATCCATTCCAATGTCAAACTCTGACTTCTACACACACTGCATGGGTGAGCACACCAAATACACTTACTTGTGCACACACACAGACACACAGACACACACACACACTGTCATAAAAAGTTCAATTAATTTTTCTTTAAAATATATTTCGTGGGGCTGGGGAGATGGCTCGGTGGTTAAGACCACTGAATGCTCTTGCAGAGGACCTGGGTTTGAATTCCAGCACCCACATGGCAGCTGACAGCCATTCATAACTCCAGTTCTAGGGGATCCAACACCTTATTCTGACCTCATTGGGCATTGCACAACACAGGTGCACTTACATACATGTAGACATTACACTCATATACATAAAATAAAAATAAATAAAATTTAAAATATATTTTGTATAATGTATTTATAATGTGTGCTAATGTAATTAAAGTGATTGTTAGTCCTGGGGGGA